TGAAACCGTTTAATACCAATAATTAGACCATGTATGAATGTAGCAATGAACATTCTTACTTAATGCAATTTCACAGGACCTATTCTATGGTGCATTTTTTTACTGGGCCACTATAAAAACATAGATATTAATGATAGTCTTCCCACCAGGGAGTCAATGTAATCCTACAGAGCATTAGAGAAAAGGAAACAAGAAGGAGGAACGGACAGGAAAGGAATTGGAGAGGCAAAGGAAAGGAAAGGAGGAGAGAGTAGGCGATCATGGGCAAACACAAGGGGAGAGGAGTAATCACGTGTGTCCGGCGGAGGTCACCACTGGTCTGCAGGTTCTAATTATGTGCTAATAGCCACTGAGGAGGTCATTTGGAGCCATTAGCCAGTGCCTGTAGATAGTTAACGGCCCAGAGCATAACCCAGCCTCCTTAATGTTCCCCGCGAGGCCGTTAGCACTCCGTCACCAGCCAGCTAGCTGCCTCGTTACTGCGATTAGAAACCTATTGATAGGTAATAGTAAAATATGATAGCACACTATCCGAAAAATATGGACTCTGGTGGAAAGGTGAGAGGACAGGAGACAGTAAGAGCACCTGCCCGAGGGGGGAAAGGTAGACTGAGGGGAACAACTGACTGATTAACCAAACAATAAAAGTTTAGCTTAATCTGGAAGTGATTAGAACGTTCCAACGCTTTCCCATGGGTTTGTTCAATGCAGTGGGGGGTGAGTCCTTAAGGAGATGAAATATGACTTCATACCATTGGGGGCTAGGGTTAAGGGGTTTGGGTGCTGTCCTGATAGCTAAATAACTAGACAGTGACTTTTCAAAATAAGGCCTACAATTTACGCTCGTTAGATGCATACAATAACTTTTCAAAATAAACTTCCACCCTAGTCTTACTTAGTTACAAAGTTTACATGTGCAACAAAACAACTTTTATTTTGTGTTAACTTTGGCGGCCCTTGAGGACAAAGCGGGAGTGTGTCCGAGCACCAGATTCCCCTTCGCAAACCTAAAACTTTAGTGTATGAGGGTCCCCGTTGCTCCGGTTTGCCCTTGCCTCCAGTCCGTCCGACGGGCTGACGATATGTACCCGGGTCTCCAGCAGCCCTAACTACACCCACTTTTGAGACAAGAAGTGTAAACCATTTTAAACCATTGATGGAGCTTGTGATGCTTCATCTTTTGTTGCAGAGCGTCTTTGGCAGAGTTCAACCTGGAGTTAGCAAATAGTGAATGTCACACGGAAAGGGCAGGTCTGTCGATATCAGATGCTGGAACCAAACGTCAGCATTTGATGAGGTAGGTGTGAATGGGAGTTGCTGAGCTGAAAATAAGATTTCCCCTCAAAACATGTATACCCTGCATTTTCTGATAAATGCAAAAGGATGTTTAACAGCACCATGATTGCATAACTATCTAAAGAAACACATGCATGAGATGAAGACAACGTTTCTTTGCTCTTAGTCACAGATTGAAAAAGAAATTAAATCAGAACCAAAACAAGGGACAGACATACCATGCAGATCGTTGTTCTTAATCAATTAGAGTCAGATGTTTTCACTTAGACATATTTCTGCTCTGGGCAGCCGTTGATTCATATGATTTAAATTAAAGACCTGCTGGTTTATAAGTCAAATGCAGTATACTTCCTGCTCTCCCACATCCATCAGTCCCAGACCAGTCTGAACTTGAGCATACACTCTGTCCAGGCAAATAAAGAGAAATACAGTGCTTCCTGAAGAATCACAGATTTGTCTGTGATGAAATCTCCAGGCCGGGCTGTAAATATTTGCCTGTGCTGTATTTGTGTGAGCGTTTCATTAACGATCCGAGCTGACAAACATGCACACCCATTGACCCCAGTCATCGAGGGAGGGCCCGAGACAGTAGTGTGTATTTGTTGAAAACGTAAACGCCTCACATGAGGGATTGATGTCACCGACGGAGGAGACGAGTGCAGTGGAAATTAATCTGGTGTGCTAAATGTTTTCCATAGCCAAAAGCTCCTGGCTCTTATTTGAGGGCCCTGTCACGACTTGAAAGTGTAATTGATACAAATTCTAAAGTTTAATTTTTAAAGTTTACAGTCACAGAGGGTTCAGCGCTCCGGATTGTTTAAAATTGCGCTCGCTTCCATTCGGTTAAAGCAGGATAGTCTGAAAAAAAATGTGTTCATCAAAGGGTTGCTACAAATTAGACTTTGAGAAACTCAATTTGAAGGGAAAAGAAAAGCATTTATTTCTTTTCCTCTGGGGGGGAAGCCAGAGTCCCTGCTGTGTTTGCATTTAAATATAAACCAGGCATAATATCTGACTTTAATGGCACATGCAGTCATACAGGGCACAAACACAGAGGCACGCGCTGCACATGCCATATGCATATACACCACCCCCACTCCCACCCCAACTTCATAATTTAGTAGTTCCATCTAAACTGGCACAGACAACAGCGTGAAACAGCTCTTAGATTGTTGTGTCTACTCTCTAATAGTTGAAATTAGCAATAAGGCCTCTGGAGATGTCGGAGCACAGGCGGGCATGTTGTAAATCTGGGTCCAATAAGGGGCCGAGGGGGTGGTGGTGGGAGGGGGTGGGGCAGAAAGTCAGAGGGAGATGGCCAAAGCAGTGGAATAACATCTTAATCCATCTGAGAAGTGAACAGTGGCCGGTCTGTTTTTTTGGAGCACGCTGTCTTGGATGACTCCCAAGCAGAGGGGCAGGGAGCAGAGCCATCTTCAGCTGCTAGTCACTAACATGGCAGTAATAAGGCAGTGATGACCCTCCCAGGACTGGCGGCCAACACTCCCCCTCCCTACCATCCCTTCAGCACCCCCACCCACCCACACACACACACAGGGCCGTGCTCTTGAACAGATATGCAGTCCAGCACCGGATATCTCTTGATATATCATCATCACTGCCCGTGCATTCATTCCATGAAACGCTTAAGCACCCATGTAAAAATGTAAATGGCACAGACCAAAATTTAACCACTAAAGCTACATGAAAATGTGTGACATTAATTTACTCACTGAAGGATAATCAATGAGAGCAAAGAACTTGACTGAAACAGCCCTCAGGGCTCACAGAAACCAATGCCATCCCACGTTGCACTGTCAGACCTTTTTCCTGTCCGCTTTTACGGTGTCATCCGAATCATCAATGTGCTGTCACGCCGAGAGGACTGAAGGATATGGGCTGGGAAGTTTTCGGGCACATGTCTGAAAACTCTCAACACATAAATATTGTTCATTCGTATGAAACTGTTTCGGTAATTTTAATGCCCAGAGGTGGGTTCAGCCCCTTGTTAGTGATCATTAGAAAAGGACCACGGTTTTATCTTTTTTTTAAATCATTATCTTCACAGAATGCATTCATAGTTGCTTTTATCACCCTTAAAGATCCTCGTGTAGTTTCAGACTCTGCACACAATTAATTCAAGCCACTGAAATCCCTGTCAGCCGCCACAATGTGGCTGGCAAACACTTTTGCGTGGCTACTTACACATATATGGTGGCGTGCTGAGGGTACCAACCCTCGCTGCTATGCATTGTTAGAAATTTGCATGCTTAAGTCCATATGGCAACTTCCTTTTGACCTGCTTTCCCATCCCGGATGCATTGTCAGGGCTGTCAGCCGATAAAGAATCACTTGACTTGCTATAACAAGTTCAAAAGGAGCTGATGACGCGCTGTTGATCCATGGAGAATCGGCAAAAGGAACACCCCTACTGCTCACTGCTATCACTCCCATAGAGATAGCCATATTATTGATGGGGGAACAGTTATGCTAATTCCTTTAGGGAAGGAAACTCCTTTTTTGTATTTTGGAAAATGCTCAAAAAATAAAGAGAAGGAAAAGAAAAAGAAAAAAAGTGAATTTCATACGCATCAAGCTTAATTCCATACAACCATTTAAAGGAGCAGCATGAGAATCAGATTTTCATAGCGCATAATGAATGCAGTTTATTTTAAAGAGGAAGATGTGTTTTGTCTGGGATGGGAAAGAAGCCGATATTTAGGCTACCTATTAACTTTCAACACCCAAGCAATATCGTTAATTAAAAGGAATACAAGTATCAATAAGTCAAATGAAAGAAGAGAGACTGCTTATATTGAACCAGTTTACATCTCAATACGGCTGATAACAACTATGTCTGCATGCACAAAAAGGTTTAAATTAAAAACACGAGTGAATATCTCTGAACTTCAGCACATTCCTAAACGTGATTATAACCATTCTAATAAGATGTATAAGGTATTGTGTTCACCCACAGATGGAGTGTCATGTGCTCCCGCTCTCTCTCACTCTGACTGACCATTTACATGCGTGTCTCTCTCTCTGACACATACAGCATGGCACAAGCGTCGTGGAGAGGGGAGACGATCCGCGTGTGTGTGGAGACGATGCGTGTGTGTCTCTGTTCGGGAGGTGGGGGTCGTTACGCACAGGGCTGCTATGAATATGACCCAGAGATATTCGATTGTGCGCCCATGTCCGGTCCCGAGGACATCCGATAGCATCTCAGTCAGTGGCATTAATGTGTCTCTCGGTTGGACATTTTGAATAATCGGGGCTGTCTGCCGTCATGCTGCCACTAGCTGTCAGCAGCCCCGTCTGTCTGTCTTATCACACTCGCTCTCCTCGTGCGCTTCCAGAAAACAAGCTGTCCTTGCAACAGAGCACTTGATAATTTTTTTAAAAACTTGTATTATTATTATTATTACCAAACCGTTCCCATAATTATCCCGTAATCATTATATAATCCTATAACAAAGCCTCTATTGAAGTCCTGTCTTTTGTCAACGCTGAGACACCGAATCTATAATTGCATTATTCGGCGTCCCCCCCCCTCCCCTCCCCCTTATAGAAGCATAATATATCAAAAACATTCCCGCAAGCTTTTTAGATGCACAAAACTTCGGCCTATGTGGGACGTCTTCTTGCCTCGCATGTCTGTCTGTGTGTGTGCGTGTGTGCGTGAGAGAGTGTTTTTACGCTTCGCGGAAAAGTTTTGCCAACTTTGTTGAGGGGTTCTATTTGCAAATACCTCCCTCTTCCCCCCCACAAAAATCCAAAAACATAACAAGTATTTGGTTCTTTTACAGACAAAGTGTAGGCGCCGGAGAGGTGTGTGTCAGATATGCACTCATTCACCAATTGGACCAGTCGCCTTATTGATGTATCATATTTTCAAATAATTACGCTCATTCCCTATTGCGCTCCCCGACAGTAAAAATAAAACGTCAATACATTGAGAGAGGGTGAGGGGGGTGTCCCTTTTTGTATGCATGGGGATTGGCAACACAACGGGCTTATTTACATTAAATGCGCCACAAGGTTACAGTGCAGATAGATGAGCGTCATTTTTATCACTCATTACTTCTCTTAAGCGGTGACTGGCGCTCAGGACGCGCAAGGGAGGCAACACTCATTTATCCTGGAGTTCTTTTAAGGCGAGGAGAGAAGAGGGGGAAACACTCGAAACAGTCCACTTGGAAAAAAAGGTAAGGAATTCTACTTTTCTTTTTACAAGTGTTTTTATCAGCTGCATGTGTTCTTTTTTTTACGCGGACCGGGGTTGTTAAGCGAGGCAATTTGGGGAAAACGCACGGTGCCAAAGCGGCGAGGCTGGCTGTCCGTGGATGTCCACGCACAACAAGGGGGCACATTTAACAAAAATAAGAGTGTTTGCGGGCAGTTCAAGGTCAGAAACAAACTAAGGCGCAGGAGAATCGGCGTTTTGGTTTCCGTGCGCCGGGGAATGTAACCAAGAGGAGATTATTTCTCTGTGCATCAACTGCTGTATTTCTCTTAATCCCCGCGTTAACGGCGAATACCGCAAGACACCCGGGCTGTATCCAGCTATCCGGCTCCGCTTTCTACAATGGAGTGCGTTTGTTTTTTTAACGGTACAATGCAATTTACCTACCAGATAGGGGGAGTCCGAGCTGAAACGATGAAGGGAATATGCTGATGCCGGGTGATCGGCATCAATGCAAACGTTCACCTTTTAGCAGGCGGCGGCAGTGGGGGACAGGGAAACACAGCGAGTAATAAAGCCGGAATATCCTCTTTCCCCCCCGTTTTTTGTTGTTGTTGTATATTTGTAACTCGGGATGCTTGGCAGGGAGCAGCTGTAGGGACAGGTTGGAGGAGTGGACGGTTCTCTAACAGGTCCGAAGCGCACTTTTCAACACCACCCAGACATCCGTCGACAAGATGATCCAGTCAAATCGTACGGACATGCCTCATTATTCAATGAACACAATCTCTCGCAACGCACCGTTCACGCGCAGGAGTTAGCCGGCGCTGCGCCACATTTCAAAGGTAAGAACAAGTGTGGAGCTCGTCCGCACCACTTGGGTTGCTTTGTTTTCTTATTTTTTAACGGGGGGGTCTTGAAGTGCATTACTCGCTGGGAAGTCAGTTTTTGGGGAGGATTGGGGTTGTTGTGTGCGGGGTGCATCACTACAGCTCCCCCACCCCCAGCAACCCCCCCACCACCCCGACGTCTCCCCAAACGTGATTAGAAAATAACAATTATCTGGAGCAAGTGATGATCGTAAGAAAAGCTGCGAGGCAACCAGCAGCTGGGAGCGAGGCACGCGCGCGCGATGCCCCGACACTTTAAAAAGCTCACGCAAGGATAAAATAGATTTTTTTTCTCTTGGAAGTAGGAATGAAATAAAAAGTTGTCTGTGCGCGCGCGCGTGTTCCTACTATGTAACACCGCCGGTGATGTTTTTTAATTATTGCGCCTACAGATAATAACTAAACAGCACGAGACTTTTCTTTTTCCCCTTAAAAAAGTCCTGCCTGTGAACCCCCCCGCCCCTTCCCCGGCAAGAGCGTGCACGACAAAACTTTTCTCCCGACACCCCGGCACTTGTGCCAATAGAGAGAGCCGGGATTGGGGGCGGTCAAGTTTCCCGTCGTGTTTACCGACCATGTGTCAGAAAGAACTTGAGACCTGCCATTTTGTGCAGTGATCGACCTCTCTTAAGAATAACAGCCCCGCGTTCTGCTCCGACACAGTGGCGGTAAAACAACGCGTCTCCTCGCCGGTCAAATGGGCTTTTTTCTAGCTGGAGGGGCGACGACAACCCGCTAGCACTTCGCGATTGCGGGGTAACATGCAGGATAAATTGGGGAGAGAAAAGTTCTCGGATAAAGGGCTGCAAGAGGCTGAAGATATCTCCCTCTAGGGGAAATATCAAATGACGGAGCCCGCCCAATTAAATGTGTATTTTCTTCCCGGGAATGGAGGAGGTCGGATGTGACACGTGTCAGCAATTATTTTCCTTTTAATTCCCCGCAGGGTGTTTTATTATTTTAGCACACCCTGAAGATCCGGCAGGTTGAGTGTGTTTGATGAAACGGTCGCCGAATTCCTTCGTGTCCGAATTTCAGTTTGGAGTGGCAGGGTGCGTTGGGGTCTGGGTGGGGAGAGGGTATTAAATTATCAGTAATATGTGGCACCAGGGAAGTTGCTCGTAATCCCATTTATAATCCTCTGTCTCACTGTGGAGCCTGAGTTGGGAGGACTTTTTTTTCTCTCTTCTTCCTCGGAAGTGGAGTTGACCCCTGAGTGGTCTGACCTGGGTTATCCAGCCACATCCGACCAGCACAATGTCATCCTTCTTAAAATACCCTACAATGTCTTATCCCGTTGTTTCCCACTGTTTCCCTCCAACCTTACCCTCAAGTGTTCTCCAGCCCGGAGAAAAAAAATAATATTGCCTCTTCCTCGTATTCATTGTGCAAGGAAAGGGCATAAATAGATGTAGTGTGCGATTTGAGATACTGTCATTGTTTATGGTATGCACAGGGCGGATATTATGTCTGAAATAGTGTCTGGGCGTAAACCCTTTTTGTCAGCTCCTTTCATTCCCCCATTGGAGATGCAATAGCAAATGGATAGCTGCACCCCCCCCCCCCCCCCCCCCCTTCCTCGCAGACCTTCTGCTGGACCTCTCTCCATGCCGCAAGTGGAAATGTTGTCATGCTTCTCGAGTGAAATGTTTTAGGAAAGATGCGCTTTCTTTTTATTTTAGCAAAAGGCCTCACTTTTGCCGACTGGCCTGTTAAAGGAATTTCTGTTCGTGAATTTTTGTTGTCAAGGCCCTCCGTGGTTTGTTTTGGCAATTTATTTAATATTCATTAGTCCCACGCAGGATTTCCTGCATTCATCCACCAGTCAGGTTACATTTTAATATTACATACGACCTGCTAATGAATTATCCAATTAATTGTCAGCGTTGTTGTCTTTAAAATAATTGTTCTAATGAAATATGCAAGCATTATTTGTCCTCACTTCAAGTCAAATGGAGACGAGTTCACAATGTTTAGGGAAGGGATTTCTTTTCATTCTGGAATTAGATTTATCGCAGCAGAAAGAGGCGCAGCACGCACCGCACACTCAGACGGCTTCTCCAGCCGCAACTTTCCCCATCGGCGGAGCTCCGAATCCGCTCTTCGTGAGCCGCCTCTCTCCTCTTTCTTTGCTCTCTCCAACCTGTGCCTGTGTCAGCTGACTGACTGCAGGGATACACGTCCCTTAGCCGAACACCAGGGTGGAGCGAGTAATGAGAGAGGGGGGGCCTGGCATGCAAAGAATGGCATCGAATCAGTCCCCTTTTCACCAGGCTGTCAGTCAGCCACTCAGTTCAGCGTGGAGGAGACCCACTCCACTGAGGCCGGTGCATCGTTTGCACGATGAGTTGTACTAAATCGGATTTCTCTTCTTCTTTTCTTTGTTTTAAAAAAAAGTAAGAAAAAATATAAATAAATCACACACTCGTTAAACAAATGTGCATAAAGAGAGCGGCCATCCCGTCGCAGGAAATGCGGCGCCATAGCGAAGGGGTCGCATAAATTACATAATCCAGCAGTGCGGTAAGTAATCAGTCGGACAACACATAATTCACGTCATGCTGTACCACTCGCACCAACATGTTGCAGGCAGGCCGGTGGATCCACCTACTTGTGTAATTCTAGGGGAGAAGGCTCTAGCTGCACAGGCTGCAAGGCCATGCAGGGCCCCCAGTCTGCTGGGATCAGGACGGTGGGGGGCAGGCCAGACCAGACCAGCTTTGCTCATTAGCCAGCCATTAATTAATATGAGCAGTGATTGTGAAAGCAACCCCCCAGCACAGACACACACACACACACACACACACACACACACACACACACCTGTCTCTGTCACCTACTGGGGCGAGGATGTGGGTATTTGTGTCCCTTTCTTCAGTTCCAGTTCTGATCTGCTCTTACAACAGTGCAAGGCAGTGGTATCCATGTATCCTGTGTGTGTCCTGTGGGGGTTGGGGGGATGGGGGCATAGTGGGTGTTAAAGGTGCTGGAACACACAGGCGTTAGTGTGGGATGAGCCTTGTAGCTCCGTGACCTTGATCTCAAGAGTTCGAGCCAGAAGATGTCGACGAGACAGGCTTGCAGTCGCCGCGTGAAGCTAATAGGACAGGCACAGACACACACACACACCCACACCCACACACTCTAGCAAAGGCTTTGACTCAAAACAAAGGATGTAAATTCAAGATGAGATTATTCCGACCACAAAGCGTCATTCGGTAGATTACACACATTAGACAGAAAACCTCAGTTGGATTTTGTTTGTTGAATTTTTGTCGTAGAAAATGTTCTGATCAGAACGTTGTGTTCTTCTACGGAACAGTTGTGATTGGTCCCAACTGTGTTGACACGAATGGCCTAAAAGCTAGTATCACTGGCCTCTGCTCATTGCTGGGCCTTTCTTTTTGTCAAATTAATAAACGATAATTTGATCAATGTTTACGGGAGGTGCTGATGTGAAGGAAGCCTGGTCATCATGTTCCAGTTGTATCTTATTCAACTTGACATTTAACATGTTGCTTTTGTACCAAATTAGGCCAAAGTCAAACTATAAGAATTACTGAGGTATTTCAAAAATAGACGAAGCAAAGGGTGAGAAAGACATCTTTTTACAGAAATTAATATTAGCTATCAATTCTAATTCTAGCAGGAGGGATGCTTTGCTTCATTGAATCTTTGTTTAAGTGAGAGTTGATGTGTGTGTGCAGTGTTTTAATGTGAATCCCTCATCCTCTACGTATGAGCTGGAGTGTATATTTTCCCCAGTATTAGACCCTGATCAGGAGTAATGGAGAGGCCGGGGGGGTGGGGTCTGGATGGTAATAGGGGGTCCAAGTCGTCTCAGTGAGAGATAAGTGGGAACGCAAGAAGGTGATCTATTCTTTTTCAAAAATCTCCCTCTCCCGCTCTTTTCAGTCCCATAATTTGTCAAACAAGGGTGACGGAGTTTTGCGTCTGCAACAGTGTGCACGTGAGCGCCACATACTGAGTGTGTGTGTGGGTACGTGTGTGTGTGTGTGTTATAAATTAATTTACAGGGCTCAGCCTTGAGAAATCCTAGTGTCCAGGCACTGCTCCTGGCCTCTGCCCCTTTCTCTCTCTCTCTCTCTCTCTCTCTCTCTCTCTCTGTCCA